AGGATTAAGAGAGGGAAGGCGAAATCGAGAGGGTTGTCCCCTTGCCAGACGCCATTGGAGGCGGTTTTGATGGAGGTTATGTTCACAGTCATCGTTTTTTTTTTTCTCTTCTCTGGAAATTATCTTTGGTTTCTTATGAGGAAGAAGTTTTAGTCATTATCTTGGAGTGAATCTCAGGAACGAGAGAGGGAGAGAGCAAATTAAATGGCGCCATTTATAGAAGAAAATGAAGCTCATTTAGTTTTCTTCTCTGACCCTCCAATTGCCTGTGTTTTCTTTTCTTTTTCTGAAAATGAACTCGTCGTCGTGGCTTTTTTTATTTTTTTATTTTAACCATAAAAATATATCTTTTTTTTTCTATTTTATTTTATTTCCTACTTTGCAAAATTTTAATGATAGTAAACAAAAGATGAGTGTCAATAGAGAAAATGCTCCGTGATGACTTTGAAGCCATAAGATGAGAAGATGGAACATTGAATGAGCTCTAAAAAATTTCAATCATGTTATTATTACAATATTTTCATATTCTTTTTCACCGCTATGTGATTAAAGTCTATATTATCAATTAAAAAAGGTTAGAGTTTTGAATATTCAGCCAAATAACTCATGTTCACGTTATTTTTCACTGCTATAAACATAGTTTAACGGATTAAAGTTTATAATATCAATTAAAAAGGGTTAGAGTTTTAAATATTGAGTCGAATAATTGAAAATTGTTGATGAGATTTTCTTAAAGGTATAATAATAAAATAAAAAATAAGTTAACGCTATTAAATTATTATTTAATATGACAGGTTGATTAGTCATGATCTAACATACAGAAAAAATTTGCCAACTAAATACAATAATGGTTGGTGGGCTAAAAATTGGGCGAGCATAAATATTGCACGAACATATCTTGCAAATGTTTGAAACCAAAAGAAGATTTTAAAATAGTTTTTTTTAATCTCATTTTTAAGAAAATATATATTTTCTTTTTGTTTTGTTTTTAATAAATTAATAATATAATTTGAGTATTTATATTAATATATTGATGTGAGCATGATCAATATTGGATAAAGAGATATTAGATGACAAAATAATACAACATTGACTTAAATGACTTAAATGATCTATTTTTAAGTTTATGAACTAAAATAGATATTTTAAAACYTTTGAAAGCAAAATATAATTTAAGTTTAATTCTTTGGATACAACGTTAAAAGACTAAAATAAAATATTTTGAAATTTGAAAAATTAAAATAGAATATATGAAGGTTGAGAAGCAACCTAAACA